CGCGCGCGTGCGCGCCCCCGCGCACACACTCGCCGCCGACGTAGGAAGTCACGCACACACACACATACAGCACACACGGCCGCACGCGGACGCACACACCGACGCCGCGTCGCCGCGCACGTTTCCCTCGCGGATCTCGCGATTCTCGTAGCGCGGCATAGGCGTCGTTGGACCAAAAAAACGCTTGTTCGCCGCCGCTCCAGGCGGCAGGGGAGCAGCGGCGGGGGCGGGGGGAGGTGTAAAAGTATCGCACGCGCGCGCATTGACGTCTTACGCCGCGCGCGCGAGGAGGCTAATTATTATTTTCGACGCGGATCGCGAGCTGCCCTTTCGGCCGGCCGATATGACGGATCGGCTCCCACGAGAGAGTGTCCAACGTCGCCGATAAGGTTCCGCCGAGGTTCCGGCGCATCTCCGTATCAGCTCGCCTCGTCCGAAGGTACACTCTCGGAGTCGTTCTCGGATAGAAAAGGATTCGAGTGGATTTGACCGCGGGAGAAGAAAAAAAAGTCCCGTAAAAATCGGCGGCTCCAATTTCGTGAATGCCACTCGAGATTCGGAGGCGGTGAAGTGGAGGACACTTGTCGATCGCGACGGTGCATTCCGCTTTTGTGCCCGCATAGAACGTTTTTCGGGATCCGGTTGAGATCCCAGTCCGATTCCCCAAAATAATTATGGGCTCCGGTTAGAAGTGCACTCGGGTAGACTGGTAGTACGTCAGTTCGGCAGCAGCTTTACTAATCGATTGGCGAAGGTTGCGGACTTTATGAGTGGCCCTTCATGTGGAACTCATATTTGCTGCATACATGATATAAAATAGAAATGCGAAAAGAATGATGAAAATTTGCGCGGCACAACATATCACGCAAAATGTAATATGAAAATCTCTGTGTAACTTTTTTGCTAAATTTGCAGCTGCATCAATATAATCAAAAAAATTTACATCGTTGTGTATGATGTAAATTTAACGATTAATTCAATACAGTACATTTATCTGATAAATGCTTTGAAAAATATTTTCTAAAATACTTTAAAAAAAATTTAATCAAATTTGGAGAGTTCATCATAGTTTCTCTTCGATCACGAAAGTCTGGAAAGAAATCCCAAGTTCTCCCAATATTCTTCCTGACCTTCATATTGCATTGGAATTGAACAAAACATACATTGACCTTGCAAATGGTTTCGTTGTTCAGTAAAATACTCTCAAAGTGCTTAATTCTTTTTTATTCTATTGAATACAATAATTGGTATGAAAAATGGGATTCCCTGTTTGATATCATAAAGATATATCGACGTTACCAATTGAAAAAAGAAACATGTTTAGATCCTATACGGAAAAGCCAATCAAAAGACTTATGAGTCACATTTAGAGGTATTTTTATTGATAAGAGTGAATTCAGAATAAGAGCCATATTATTCTTGTTTCGATTTTAGACAGGGGACCCACGTTTGGAACAAGAATAGCATTCCCAATTGGTATCGTAGCGGGCTAAGCAATTTTAGGACCAATTTGGGCATTCTAATAGGAATCTATGCTGTGTACTTGGGAAAATGTTGAGAAATTTGTGTGCGAGTATAGATTCTCTCTTAGGTAACGCGGATTGTGCGTCTGACCGACGCTCATCCGCTAGAACGAGAGTGAGAGAAAGAGAGAGAGGGAGAGAGAGAGAGAGAAAGAGACAGAGAGAGAGAGAGA